CAGCTCAGCCCAGCTCAGCCCAGCCCAGCCCAGCTCAGCCCAGCCCAGCTCAGCCCAGCTCAGCCCAGCCCAGCTCAGCCCAGCCCAGCCCAGCCTGGAAATGTGTGGACAGAAAGGAGGGATGGATATGAACTCTGCTCCCAGGGACGCTGCAGGCACCCACCACGTTCTGCCCAGAGAACAAACAAAGCTGCAGGGACACAGGGACACAAAGCCAGCCCTTCCTGCATTCTGTCCCCCCTCTCTGCCTGCAGTGGCAGTGTCCCTATCCCCATCCAAGATGCCACCTGTGCGACACAGGGCACACACAGATGGCTGCCAGCACCATCCTGCCCTCCCTGAAGACATCACCTTCTGCAAAGGAAGAAACAAAGATGCAGCACTGTACTGCTGAGTCATCAGGTCATAGGAAAGCCAGAAATCCATCTAAACCTATGAACCTTTTCCCAGATTCCCTGCTGGGAAGCTTCTGCAGGGATCATCCTGCTCCTTAAAAACACCTCCACTAGCACGATTCAGTCACCAACAGTGACCCTGCAGCCCAGCTGCTCAGGCATCACCCTCACTCCTGACATCGCACATGGGATGGGGATGGAGCCATCCTGTAGCACACCGAGGTCTTGCCAAGAGACGCAGAAATCAGGAAAAGCCAGAATTGCGAGGGAAAATAAGGCAGGATGCGGTGGCCGAGGCAAGGGCTGTAAAACCCATTTCCCTGCCCTTATGGCCAGAGCTGGGCCTGTTCCTGCATTCCAGCACATTCAGCAGCTTTTGGGCACTTGATCCTAAGTGAGGCCTGCCCAGAACCTCAGCAGAGGATGGTCTCTCTCTGTCACTAAACCAAGCCTGTTCTCCCCAGGAGCGCAGATCTGGTGGCAGCACTGACAGCGCCGTGTCCTGGCACTGACCTTCTGGCCATGGGGACATCTCCCAGACATCCCTGCAGGAACAGAACGCTCTGGGAAATATGAGCTGCTGACACTTCCAGCAAGGTTACAGCAGTGGGAAGGCGTGGGTGTGATATCCTCTGGATACTGTCCACTGGAAAAGGAGAAGCCCTGGTCCCGAATACCAGCAGGAGGAAAAGCCAGTGAGGACAAGCTGGGGCTGCAGCACAGGGGAGCAGCACCTCTGGACACCCAAAGGAGCCCTTGTCCCCTGAGGCCGGCCACAGAAGGAAATAAATCAATATATATTATATCCACGTACATGGCTAAATCAAACTTTCAGGAATTCAGAAGCTTCCACAAACACAGATGGCAGAGGAACACCAAAGTGGTGGCAGAGGGGGACGTGGCCATCAGTGCCACATGGCTCTCCAGCCCTGAGTGGGAAGTGAGGGATAGGTCCTTGTGGAAGGTGCTTTAGCACCAAAACCACAATCCCACAGCAGCTGTGCAGTGTTTCCATCCCGCTGCCCGCTCCCCACCAGCACTCAGCCCTGCCTAAGCCTAACCCCAGTGCCCAGGAAAGTGTCCCCTGTCACCCCTGTCCCCCCTGTCCCGGCCAGCTCAGGGCCTGGACACCTACTGTTGGTCTTGAGGCGGGCGGGCTCGCTGTTCCTGCTGCCCGCCTGGTTGATGGCCTTCACCAGGAAGATGTAGCGGGTGCCGCTCTGCAGCCCGTGCACCGTGTAGTGGTTCTGCTTGATGTTGGGGACGATCATCCAGCTGTCCATGGAGTTGTAGAGACCTGGAGTGCAGGAGAGGGGATTTATTCCCATTTATTCCCAGGGAAGGACAGAGTACAAAGCCCCGTGCTGCTGATGCGGAGCTCACGCCCGCGTGTCCCTCGGAAGGTTTTACCCCTGCCTGGCAGCTCCGAGTGTCTGCAGGGAAATTTCCAGAGATGATAAATCCCTGCAACACAGAATCTTTTTCATTATCACACAAAGGCAATGTTGGTAAGGCAGGGCCAGGGCTGCAGTGCTGGCATCTTGGGATGCTGCCATGGGAAGTGATGGGGAAAGGGTGCAGAGAGGGAAATTCAGCCAGCAGCACCTTCCAGCCTGGGCAGATGGCAGAGGAAGCTGTTGGTGCCTGGGAGGGGGTGACAGCCACCATCATCCCACCACCCTCCCAGCACCAGCCCACTGTCACTCTCACATGTCTCTGCTCCTGCAGGACAGCCTCCCTCCTGCTCCAGGGCCCCCGTGTGCAGCTCCAGCAGCAGAAAGGGATTTATCTGCACCCAAATCGACGTGTTTGCAACTGAATCTTGCTCCTGCCCAGTCCTCAGTGCACCAGGGTGGGAAGTAATAATCCATGGCTAAGGGAGGCTGATGTTGGCTCCCTGACTAGACTGGTGTGCAGAGCGGTTCAAAGAAAATGAGCTCCCAGTGAAGGGATCCAGACGCTTGGAAATCATTCAGGAGGCTGAACTCTTCCTGGAAATGGGAAGGAATGAAGAATCCAAGACCATGGAGGTGCCAAGCTGACTGCTGCAGTGATCTGCAGTGTCTGAGTTACAGGGCCTGGCACGTGTGGAAGTGCAGTGCTGTACCTCTGGTGGGGTGACACAGCGCTCCAGGAAAGGGGAAAAGCCTTACATGGTGCCACTGAGGCTGCTCCTGCCAGCAGCAGGACTGGGATGAGGATCACCTGCAGCTGGCTTGAGTAGCTGGAACTGGGGACAAGGATCCTGTGGGGAAACCAGGGCAGCTATCACAGCACAGGAGCAGGGCTCCGAGCCAAAAGGAATAAGGAAGCGTGGAAGAAGCTGGAGGCTTCTGAGATCTGGTGCGAGGTGAGGAGTGAATTTGGGGGGTTTTCAACATGTGCAGGGCTGGGAGGCAGGAGCTGGGAACGCTCCACACCTCTTCTGCAACGGCTTCCAATTCATTTCTCTTCAGTGGCTGGCTCAGCCGCAGGACAAGGGCAGGTTGCAGTCCCTGTCACCCTGAATTTGGTTTGGGATACACGTGGGAATGGCCGAGGGGCAGAGCAGTGTGATGTGAAGTAGAAAATAAAACAGATGTGATCCTGATTGCAGCCTGCACGCAGAGCTGCTCTCGTTGGAGCACAGCTTCCAGCCCGGCCTGCTCGGTGTCACCTTCCTGCAGGAGGGAGCAGCTGGGGATGCCCCATCGGGAAGAACGAGGTGGCTGAGAGATGACAGCCACAAGGACTTGACCTTCACGTAGGTTTCTTTCGCAAAACAATCTCCAAGAGCTTGGCCTTGAAGACCAACCTCCTCTCTCCTACCCCTGCCAAAGCTTTAAAATTCCCTTTTACTGTAGCACTCATCATCCATAAAAATGTCTGGCTCTTGCCAAGCTCTTGGCTTTGATGGAAGCCTGAAGGGGATGGGTTCCACAGGCCAGCTCTGCACACCTTGGAAAGGTATTTCCTCTCCTGGTCAGGCTCCCAGCTCCTGCTCAGTGTTCCAGTGTCTCCTCACACGAGTTCAGCCAAGGCTCACATGGTCCCATCACCCAGACTGTGCTATTCCAAGGGACAATAAGTTATTCATTTTCCTCTTAGGGATTTAACTGATGTTTTCTTCACTCCTCCTACGAAAAGCAACTTGGGGGTTGCTGGCTGGCCAAGGAGGACACTTCTGCCATGTGACCCTCCGGGCTCTGCTCCAGCACTGCCCTCACTGTTCCTCACCCTCGTGGTCCCCACAGCTCCTCCTTCCCCAGTGCCTGTGCCAGACCCCAGAGGCGGGCAGGGGACTCATTCCCAAGTCCCTGGGTGTATGGGACTCCAAGCCACTCAAGTGGCACGTGGGAAAAGGTGAGAGCCAGATCCTTCCCTGGCGGTGTCCCAGGCCAAGGGCGTGAGCTGCAGCAGGGGAAATCCTGAGTGGAAAAGGGAAAAATCCTCCTGGCTGAGGGTGAGGAAGCACTGCTGCTCCATCCCTGGACAGTCCTTCTTCCTCAACAAGCAAGCCCTGAGCAGGCTGTCAGCCTGAACCGCACAGAGCTGGCACAGGGCCCTTCCGACGTCCCTCCCCACCAAAACCACTCAGTGACACCAGCAAGTCCCCAGCTGGAAGTGCAGGGGACATGGAGCTGGTGGCCATCCAAGAGCAGGGCCAGAGAGGTGGCTGAGCTCTCCAGGCTTCCAGAGGACAAAGTGCTGGAGACAACGTGCTCCCGCTGGGAGGGAGAGGAGAGCCGAGCAGGGCGGGCCTGGCTGCGGCAGCCTCCATGGAAAGGAAACACATCATCTCCTTTTTCAAAACAAGGGCAAAGGCTGGGCCGGGGCTGGGGAGGTGAGATCCAGCCTGGAAAGTCACAGGGAACTTTCTCTGGCAGCTTCCTGCACGTTTCAGAGTGCACTGAACAGCCTTCCGGAGCCGTGACACCGCGCTGCCGCTGCCAGCGTCCTTCCAGCCAGCGGGACAGACTGACAGCCCAAACTCCCACTCCGAGCCACCTGGTCAGAGCTGCTCACAAAGGCAAGTGCTGCTAGGAAAGCCAGGAGTAAAACTTCCTCAGACCATCAATGACTGTCCTCAGTGCCCAAATCAAATCCCAGCCCTGTGAGACAAATCTGTGGTGGTGTGGAAAACTCAGTATGGCAGTAATCTTCATGAAAAATGGCCTGGAAATACGTTCAGAGGGTTTATAAAGCACGTTAGTGATCAGCCACGGAGCAGCCAGCGCTGCCCCACGTGTGATCCCAGGTACACGGAGCTGGGAGCTGCACAGGAGCCTCCAATGCTCCTCCAAGTCAGGGCTGATGACACCGAGTGCGGACCAGAGCACCGCAGGGATGTCCCCCAGCACAGAGAGGTGTCCACTGCTCAGATCCACCAGCCCTTGGTAGATCCTTTGCTGCTCTTTTCTCCACAAATACCCAGCCTTTAAACCCACTGATGAACCTGAGAACCTTTTCCTTCCAGAATCCCAGAACAGTCTGGGTTGGAAGGGACCTTAAAGCTGATCCAGTGGCACCCCCTGCCATGGGCAGGGACACCTCCCACTATCCCAGGTTGCTCCAACCTGGCCTTGGACACTTCCAAGGATGGAGCAGTGTGTGGGCAACATGGATTCCTTGCTGGAGGGCAGTGTGGTGACTTACTGATGAAGTTGGCCTGGCCGGTGAAGATGGTGTACTGCAGCTCGTAGGAGCTGACGCTGAACTCGTCCTCGGAGATCCAGTGCACGGTGATGGTGTCGTGGGAGGCTGTGCAGAGCTCCTCACGGACTGACGGCGGGTTTGGTGCTGTGGGATGGCACAGACCACACACTTTGGTCAGTTTGGGCTTTCCTTCCTTAAAAACCCAGGGCTTTTTCACTCATGCTTGGGCTGAGCCGGGCTTGTGGCAGAGTACAGTCCCAACGGCGAGAACTCCCTCAGTTTATCTGTCATTGTGTTCCCCACTGAACGAAACTTTTTAGTTTAACAAGGCATCCAGAAGTCAGAGCACAGGGTTTTCACTGCTGCTCCATCAGGTCTGACACCCCCACCCTGAAACAGGCTGAGAACCCACTTCCAAATCCACCTATTCCCCTGCAGTGGTTGTGGAGTAAGTATCTTATCTCATTACTGACCTGGACATGCTTGTGCTAATCTTTCACTGAAAGCTGATCTGCCTCACGATGCCAAAATCAGATTTGGGTGAGTGAGGATGTCCTCACCTCCCTGGAGCTCTCATCCCTCCAGTGCTCCAGCACAGGCTGGTCCAGCAGCACTGCTGCTCCCAGACCCCCAGGGCAGGGATCAGTCTGTGCTGGGGCATCAGGGCAGCACTGAGGGGCACACTGAGGTCCTGCCCAGCAGGGCTCATAATCTGGGACCAAGTGACCCAGAAAAAGGGCAGGAAAAGGGAAATGTTAAAGCAGAGAGTGCCCTAGAAATATAATAATTGGTTAATTCATCATTCCTCCTCTGTAATCCTTGTGGATCCTTATATAATCCTTATCCCTCTTGCATCCTTATGGACTTCAGCCTCCCCCACCAGGTCACAGAGACCATAATTTTTGATCTTTCTGGACCTTTCCATGGCTCTTCCAGGAAAGGCAGGGTGAACCAGGAGGATGGGGACACGTCACTGTGCTGGGGACAGCACAGGCCCTGCTCTGCCACAGCTGACCTGGCGCTTGTCACTGGCTGAGTCCTAGCACAGGTCTGCCAGCCCTTGGTGGAGCACAGGCCGGGGGCTGAGGGGAAGGAACGGAGGGGAGCACCCCTGAGCACTCACCTGTCAGATAATCCAGCCCCTCCAGCAGCTTCTTCTCTCTGGAAAAATCTAAAGCGAAGTTTTCAAAGGCATCATTAAAATTGATATCTGGTATCAGGACTTGCGAGGATGCAGTTGCCATGGCGACCCTGGAAGGAAAGGAGGGACCGTCAGTTCGCTGCAGGGTGCAGGAGGGAGGCACAGGGATGGGGACAGCCTGCCTGTGCCTCAGCTGCTGCCAGGAAACCGGCCTGCACCTACAGAGCCCGGCCAGGAGCGTGGGCTAGCCTGGGGACAGCTTCCCTGAGAGTGGGGGGCTCCGTCCCTGGGGTTTGCAGCTTTGATTGGCCCCTGAAGTGCCTCTGGACCGGCATCTCCAGCACTCTCCCACCCAGGGAAGGGGAATTGCTGGCAGTGTTGCTAGGAGCTGGCAGGCAGCACTGTCCTGTGAGGGATGGGAACCCGGAGCTCGTGGGAGGCTGCAGGGGTGGCTGTGGATCTCCTGGGAGGTGACTGCAGGGGAGCTGGGTCATCTCTGGCCAGGGACCTGAAGCAGGGGCCAGCAGCAGCAGCAGCAGCAGCAGCAGCAGCAGCAGCAGCAGCAGCAGCAGCAGCAGTGCCCCAGCCCAGCCCACCTCTCGGCCACGTTCCTGGCAGTCTGCAGGAACCGCGCGTGGTCGTTCTCCTTCAGGATGTGCTCGGCCTGGTTGATGAGGACCGTGGAGCGCTCCAGGCACTGCCGGCAGTTGGCGACCTGCTGGGCCAGCTTCCGCAGCTTCATCACCTGCAGGGGAGCACACAGCCACGCTCAGGAGCCGACAGGCACGGGGGGAACCATCCCGAGCCAGGAGCTGATGGAGCGAGGAGCAGAGGAACGGCACAGGGCTGTCCCAGCGGCTCCGAGGAGGGAGGGCAGAAAGCATTTCCCACGTTAAATCCTGCTGGGGCTGCCCCAGGACACGGCCTGAGCCTGCTCAGAGGGTCCCGGGGCTGAGGGATGCTGGAGAGCAAGGCAAGGCATCCTCTCTCTGAGGAGAGCACGCTGCCATGAGACTCCTGCCGCTCAGCACAGGCCAAGGGAACCCCGGGAGCGGGGAAAGCGTTCACAGAGCTGATGGAAAACGTCACATTCACAGCTGCTGAACCGACCTGCTGCGTGAACAAGGTATGAGGGAATCTGCATCTTCTCCCCCTCCCTCCTCCCAGGCTCCACACATCCGTTGGGCCATTTGCCAGGAAAAGCAGGGCAGAACAAATGGAAAACCAAATGGCAATCCAGCAGGAAAGCAGAATTCCTTGCTCTTCAGCTGGAGCACTTCAAAACAGCCACAGCCCCTAGAGGTTACTCCCTCCTCCACTGCTTCTGCGGAGCGTTTGGGCACTAATCTGTGCCCTTCGCCTCTACCCAGCTGCCAAATGTAGGAAAACAACATCTTGGAGCTTCCAGGCCCTTCTAAGCATGGCTGGAACTGGACAGCAGAGCCTGGAACAGCCAAGGAAGAGGGCGGGAAGAGCAAGCAGACAGACAGATGGACCGGCAGACGGCACCGTTACATAAAATATGTTCCCTGGAGTGCTTGGGGTAGAAGCAGGATTTCAGAGCTCCCACAGCTGCCAGGGTGTCCTGGAGCTGTGCTGCTGGTGGAACCCGCTCCCGACTGCCCGGGCAGCAGCGGTATTCGGGTACCCTGCTGGGACACCCAAGCTGGGGGAGAGCTGTGTGTCCCTCCCAACACAGGGACCCCAGCAACGGGGTCATGCAGGCACCCCTGGGCACCCCCAGAGCCACCCCTTGAGATCACCAGAGACCCCCAGAGCCTCTGAGCCATTTCCAGAAAGGTCTGGAAGAACGGACTGTGCATGAGAACTGATTTGCAGAGAAACTGAGAACTCCCCAGGGCAGGCAAAAGGGATCTATAGAATGGTCCCCCAGGAGCCTGGACACGGTTAACTGGATTGATGCTGGAACCAGGACTGATGAGCTCCACTCTGTCTTTCTCTTGCTTTAATTCACCTCCCTCTCTCTCTTCCCTTTCACCTTTATCCAAAACCCATCACTGTGTGCTTAAACTGGGAGATCAGTATAGAACAATCTCCCTGCCAAATAAACCATTTGCAGCTGACCAATAAAACCTGATAAGCTTTTGCTGAACATCTGACATTTATCATTCCTTTCCACCATGAGCATCTATGAATCTTGGGTGCTCCCTTCCCCTCTGGGGTGGGATGCTACACATGGAAAGCTCTGGGAAACACCTGGAACCACTGGAGGAAAGGTCCAAACACTCCCACGAAGATGAGGGTGAGAAGCAGCTCCCCCCAGCTGTGCTGCAATGCAGAACGTGCAGCCTCTGCTCTCTGCAGCACTGGACTGTGGCCCTTCAGTATTAATTCCACACTGTTCTATTAGAAGCACAGTGGTGAAGGGCCCTGAGGAAACTGTCTGGAGTGATCCAAGCCTCTGCACCAGCTTGTCACGCTAACCAACACACTGTTCCTCCTCCAGGCTCACGCCTTCTCCTTGGCAGAGGAGCCTGGGGCAGCGACAGACACCTGGGCACGGAGAGCAGCACCAGGGGACACCCCGAGTTTGGCCAAGGAGAAGCACGGGCTCTGCCCAAAGCAAACCCTTCTCGGCAAGGCAACACAGGCTCTGCACCCCTCTGCCCGGGCTGGCTCATCCCAGACTGGGGGGGCACACCCTGGAGGGCACCTGTGGCCAGGGACACCTGAGCTGGGACCCCTCACCTTTGTCTCCTTGATCTTGACGGCGATGACCTGCTTGCGCTGGCGGATGATCTCCATCAGCTCATCACACTCCTCCATCAGCTTGGCCTCGTGCATGGCTGTGTTCACCTGGAGGAGCAGCAGCACACCGGTGTTGGGAGGGTCACACAGGTGTTGGGAGGGTCACACAGGTGTTGGGAGGGACACACCGGTGTTGGGAGGGACACACAGGTGTTGGGAGGGTCACACAGGTGTTGGGAGGGTCACACAGGTGTTGGGAGGGTCACACCGGTGTTGGGAGGGACACACAGGTTTTAGGAGGGACACACAGGTGTTGGGAGGGTCACAGGTGTTGGGAGGGACACACAGCTCACAGGTGTTGGGAGGGACACACAGGTTTTAGGAGGGTCACACAGGTGTTGGGAGGGTCACACAGATTTTAGGAAGGACACACAGCTCACAGGTGTTGGGAGGGATGTAAGACCCACAGGTTTGAGGAAGGACACACAACACTCTCATGGCTGTGCTCACAGCTGTGCACACACAGCACACTGGGTCCAGTCCTCTGCCTCCAGGGAAGAGCAGTATCCATGGAAGGATGGACAGGACAGACAGGACAGACCAGGACAGACAGGACAGGACAGGACAGACAGGACAGACAGAACAGGACAGACAGGACAGACAGGACAGGACAGGACAGGACAGGACAGGACAGAACAGGACAGGACAGACAGGACAG